TGGAGGCACCATACGAGGCTCCACGTTAATTCTAGAGAAACAACATTATTAACCGTAGGATTGTTAAATATACGAGTGGGATCAAAAGAGATCTATTTGTTCCACGGAAGAGTCCTATGAGGTTATGGTACAAACAAAACGTGTCTACATGCAGTTTCCACACCAAACACGATACCTCCTGCCGGAAAAAAATGCTATCGTACCAACACGTTTCAATTGTTTGATCAGATTGGCTTGATGAGATTTACCAACGATCATACATATGGATTTTTTTGCGGATGAATCATTTATAGGAAATCTGCATGCATATGTGCACAGGATTTGGCCATCGTGTAAGGTGCATGCATACAAGTGATACGTGATAGATAGGAGTTCTCTTTTTTCTGCAGGGCAGATATAATTAATTCACACTATAAAATAACCAAGATTGGGATACACCCTCAAGGAAAATGTTAAAGTTTTACTTACTTACAAAATATAAAATTCATGGTCTCTTGCGGAACAAAAACTGAGTCAAGCAATACAATATATCAAATAAAATTTGTAAGTACGCATTTGCAAAGTACGAATTTCTAACATAAAATTGGTAAGTACATAATTTGTAAAGTAAATATTTTATAACTTTAATTACGATCTATATAATGCAAAATATATAGGTCGTAACTACAGTTTTTTTTTACCATAATACAGTAGGTTAAATCCCCTACTGTTTGTCATTTTCATTATAAAAGAGAGTGGTCGAAACTAAAGTTAGAAAATATTCAAACTAACATAGCGACCTATAGAATCCCTTTTCGTATTGATTCGTTCAAATGGCATAGATAAATCGAATTGTAGTGATAAGATGTACTGCGTTATCATATTTGAAATTTGTTATTTCTACCCCGCAAAAAAAAGAAATTTGTTATTTCTCATGCACTAAGCAAAAGTTATTTCTAATTCAATTAAGTTGTGGCATAAAAAAATGAAATCATTGTGTGCAATCTTAGGTCCGCAAATGTTTAACACCATTTGCACAACTCAAAGACGAAAATGGCACATACTTTTTAAATTTTGTTACCATCGAATTCTTTGTCCAATAAAGAATCAACACTTCTGGTGATTTACTAACGAAATAGAATTTCCTCTATATTGACTAAAGAATGTACACTCACAACCATATAGCTCATCATTCCCGTGGACAAAAAGTATCGAATTAAACTATTTTGAGGGCAAAATTATATATTTTAAATAGCCGCTCGACAAAAAACAAACCCCTATTCTCTCAAATTGATTAAGATAATTATGAAATGTGCCATTCAACCAAAATAGTAATGAATTTGTATCTTCTATTTTTCAAACATGTATCATTTTCTCTAATAATTTTTCCAGCTTAGATAGTTTTTGGTGTTTTCCCATATTACTATCATGAACTCGGGATTATTTATTCATTTTGTACTGGATGTGCCTTGATTCAATGGCTAAAAAATGTGATTACATTTTCAAAAGTACACGAAACTTTCAAGACTACTGTGATGTTTGTTCTTATTCCAAAGTATATTAAGCACCATGTTTTCTGAATCAAGGTTGCTAGCCCGTGCACCTTGATGACTAGTGTATTTAAATGTGTTTCAAACTCCTGCAATTTAGTAGATTTGCTTTCAAATACCACTTGGCATGAGTGGTAAGCTATCTCAAAAACAATGAACAATAGATTTGCTTTCAAACGTGATGAGTTTTTAACATAGCTAGCTCGTTCAGGCACGGGTTGCTGACTAGTTCCTACCAAATACTAGTACGACGTACGTAGCAGCCACGGCGGGGCAGACGACTAACGGCCTCCACAGATGCATCTCTCATCTAAAGATCTTGACCGGCCCATATGACTGGGTCAACGTACGTACGTGCCGGCACACACACGTTTGCTGCCATGGAACGAACGGCATAAATCCCAACCACTCACTCATAACTACTCGTAGATGCACACAGCACAGCGCATGTCAAAAAAAAAATGTAGATGCACACAGCGAGTACCCTCATGCACGAAATATCTTCTTAAGTGCACCATCGCATGTACCGTTCGTAGCACAAACTAAATAATAATTTGTAACATCTCACCACCATCTGTGATCGCTAGCACACCACCACCATGGATGGCTATGGCTCGCCTGCCACCCAGTCCGTCTTGCTCCTCATGGCAGCAGCGGCAACCTGGATCAGCTTCTTCCTTGTCGCCGACGCGTCCGCGGGCGCCGTGACCTGCATACGGCGCGAGCGGGACGCGCTGCTGGCCTTCAAGCAAGGCATCAACGACACCGGCGATGAACTCGGGTCGTGGCAGCGAGGGCGCCAAGATTGCTGCCGATGGGCAGGCATCACCTGCAGCAACGTGACCGGCCGTGTCATCGGGCTTGACCTTAGCCGGAGGTTTTCTTTGGTCGGCCAGATAAGTCCTCCCTTGCTTTCTCTAGAGCATCTCGAGTACCTCAATCTCCAGTCTACATCCCTGTGTGGGCATGATGGCCGTATTCCAGAGTTCTTGGGTTCTTTAAAGAACTTGAGACATCTCGATCTCTCCTACATATATTGCTCCGACACAGTGCCTCCTCAGCTTGGCAACCTTTCAAAGCTGGAATATCTCGACCTCTCCAACATGCAGATGGACTTGATAGACATCTCATGGTTAGCCCGTTTACCTAGGTTGATGTATCTTGACATTAGTTATATGAATCTCAGCTCAATAGCTGATTGGCCTCTTGTGGTGAACATGATTCCTTCTTTGAAGGACCTCCGCCTTTCTTACTGCTCGCTTTCCAGTACAAACCAATCCCTCACACACCTAAACCTCACAAATCTTCAGCACCTTGATCTCTCACGTAACTACTTTGGTCATCCAATTGCGTCCAGTTGGTTTTGGAACGTAACAAGCATCGAGTACCTTGACCTTTCTGATACCTCCCTGCATGGTCCATTTCCTAATGCGCTAGGAAACATGACGTTTCTCCGCCAGCTATACTTTTATCACCAATCTTTTGGAATTGGTAACACAGCCACAATGACAGTCGATTTGAAAAATCTATGTGATTTGGAAATGATATGGCTTGATGGGAGTCTCTCCTCTGGAAATATAACAGAGTTTCTGGAGAAATTGCCGCGCTGCCCGTCAAACAGATTGCAAGAATTGAGGCTGAGCAGCAACAATATGGTTGGAATGCTGCCAAACAGAATGGGCCACTTAACAAACTTATCTAGTCTCGACCTGTCCTATAATAACATTACTGGAGCTATACCTCCATGGTTGGAAAATTGCACTAGTTTGTCGTATCTTTCTCTTTCCAGCAATGGTCTTACTGGACCTATACCAGTAGGGATAGGGAGTTGCACTATATTAGACATCCTCGACCTCTCTTACAATGATATTACTGGAGCTATACCGCTAGGCATAGGGAATTTTACTACATTGAGGTACCTTGTTCTTTCTCACAACCTTTTGAGTGGACATGTGCCTTCTATGATTGGTATGCTTGGTGATTTGATTGACCTTGACCTTAGCAACAATAACCTGGATGGCCTGATCACAAGGGAACACATGGCTTCTCTGAAGAACTTAAGGCACATGGATTTATCGCATAATTCGTTCTCAGGACCTCTCCCGATAGAAACTGGAGCTCAATTTTTGCTAGAATTGTCTTTGTCCTCCAATTACTTCAGTGGTCATGTTCCTGGATCTATATGTCAGCTGCGGAACCTACTTGTCTTGGACCTATCAGACAACTTTTTAGAGGGAGAACTTCCTCAGTGTTCTCACGACCCTAACTTGGTTTTCCTCCTCTTAAGTAACAATGGCTTTTCTGGCAAGTTCCCATCATCACTTCGAAACTACTCGAGTTTGGCTTTCATGGATCTTTCAAGGAACAATTTGTATGGGACATTGCCGTTGTGGATTGAAGAATTGGTACAGTTGCGCTTTTTGCAACTAAGCCACAACTTGTTGTATGGAGATATTCCGGTGACTATCACCAATCTTCAATACCTTCATCAATTGAGTTTAGCGGGAAATAATATATCTGGAGTTATACCTGAGTCTTTGTCAAATTTAACATCAATGGCCCAAAAAGATCCAGAGAACTCCAAGGACGACATGTCTGCATGGTATGACAACCATGTGGGTAAATTTAGAGGACTTTGGGATGTTGTGATGAAGCGCCAAGAACTGAAGTATGGTGCTGGAATTTTTTATGTGGTTGGTATTGACCTATCACTCAACCACTTAACTGGAGACATTCCAGAAAGGATAACTTCTCTTGATGGATTACTGAATTTGAACTTATCATGGAACCACTTGAGTGGGAAAATTCCCGTGAAGATTGGGGCCATGAAATCAGTCGAATCACTCGACCTATCAAGGAATAACCTTTATGGTGAAATCCCGGCAAGCTTGTCTGAATTGACATTTTTAAGCTCCTTGGACTTGTCATATAACAATCTTACAGGAAGAATTCCCCCAGGAAGTCAACTTGACACTATCTATACTGAGAACCCGTCAATATACACTGGTAACATTGGTTTGTGTGGCCCTCCTCTTGAAAGGAATTGCTCAGGAAACAACTCACTGGAGCATGTGAATCAACCGAGAAGGGACAGTGTTTATGAGGCAAAGATGTTCTTTTACTTTGGACTTGGATCTGGGTATGTGGCTGGCCTTTGGGTTGTGTTTTGTGCCATTTTATTCAAGAAAGCATGGAGAGTTGCCTATTTCCACCTCTTTGACAAGTTGTATGATAAGGCATATGTGTTTGTGGTTCTTACTTGGGGCAGGAGAAATGGCAAGGCAAGTACAAGTTGAGCGATACAGATAGTACATAGTGGGCCCTAGGAATAAATGAATGTAAACAAGTATTTGATTAAATCTTGTACTAGTAAGTGTATTTTGTTCCCGGTGAAAGTTTGTCTGATGCATGTAATTAAGTGTTATTGGTTTGTACTAAATCAAAAGTCAACATGTATACAAAAATTAAGATGAGAATGTATCCTTGGTGAGTGGAGCAAATTGCTAGCAAATTGTCTAAAAATCAATTGCCAAGTATCCAGTCCTATATGTTGTAAATTCTAGAAGTTGTTTACACAATTTTTTTATCATGTCATATAAGTACCAACACATTAAATTCTACAAGCAATATGCAAATTAATTCATATGCCAACTACCTTTCCAACACTTCAACAGATATGAGTGAAGAACAAAGAGATTAAAGTGCTTCTACTTTGTCATTACTATAACAGATATAAGTGAAGCATATAGAGTAATATAAAACTTTTAGCCATGCAATTCTCTCCCAATCTCAAAAGATTACAGCTGTTATCATTTTATTATTTAAAAAGAAGAGGGAAATGATGCTCCAAGAACTACACATATTACACGAATAAATAAAAAGATAGGTCCAAAAGAGACATTCCTCCTATAAAGGATGCTGGAGTACCCGCTTCCTGGGCGCCTCCATGGGCGAGAGTGCCCTCCGCACCGTCCGTTGCGCGGGTGCACAATGTCGTGGCCTCCCGTGGGCTCTTCGCGCCATTCAATCTGCCCGGACGGCGCGCACTCAGGCGTGTCTCCTCGGTATTCATGACGGGTGGACTGCGGGCGCGCCCGTCTGTTTTGTTCGCGTGAGCCAGGCAGGCGCGTGTGGCGGGTTGTTTAGCTTGTGCGAACACCCCATTCCGGTCTGTTTCCCTCGCGCCATCCATCTAGGCGTCGTGACGGTGAGACGGTCAGCCACGAGGGCCACATATATGCAGGTGGCTTTCGCTCACTCCAGCCGGGTACGCGCGGACGTCCAGCTCGGCGTGCTGTGAGCGGGTGTGGTCCGTCATGCCTGGGAGCCGGGTGGACGGAGGGGCCGTCCGGCGCATCAGTGGGCTTGGGAATTGTGCGGACGCCCTGGAATCTGAGTTGGCAGCAATCCATGAAGGAATCACTCTGTCTCTCAATTAGATATCCTTGTGGAGACTGACAGCGCTGATGCGGTGCAACTAATTTCAGCAGCCGGAAAGGACCCTTGAGCACACACTCACAAAGTAATGGAGACCAGATCAATACTGTCTCAAGAAAGAAGGATTCAAATTATGAAGATCAAGCGAAATGTTAATGTAGCTAGTCACACTCTCGCTCATATGGGACGTACACAACAGCGTACTGCCTGCTGGTTGCGTTCTCCCCCGGACGAGATTGCGAGCATTGTTGCCGCTGATTGTAATTACATTTCCTGATGAATGAAATCATTTTTCCCGCAAAAAAAAAAAAGATCGACGGTGGAGAGGTATCTGCCGTGCCATCCTATGGACCAAGGAAAAATCGACTGATCCAAACAAACAAAAACAAGGTAACTGATAGTGGCCAGTCGCTTCACTGCCGTTCACAAGAAGCAGCAAGGGAAACACGCTTCCTGGAAAGAACCCTTATCAGTGCAGAAACTTATTTCATCTGGACTCTAGAGTGCATGGCCAGGAGCGACTTGCCGGTCTATGTGGACAAGTCAGGGACAGCAGGACAAGGAGCGATGCCCGCCTATACTTTCCTACGTACTACGGTCCAGCACAAGTTGGAAAAGAAGGCGGAGCACATTTTTCTAAACGCGAATGTCCCGATCTAAATTGACCCCGATCTGGACAGGTCCTGCTTACTTGTTGCCAATTTTGCTCTGCATCCAGTCTAGGTCTCCCTGCCGTTGTCTACCAGGAAACTCGATGATGGTCCAACTGAAGTGTTCAACACGGCGCGCGCTGGAAAAGTCGTTCATAATTACCCCAAAACCATCACATATGAGGCTAGGACCAGCAGAAGAGCTCGTGCGTTCTAACGGAAAGACAAAATACCACACTCATGTTTGAATGTTGTCAATCCTACTCCCAGCAGATGATGAGAAATCTGCTTTTTTATGAGGTTATGGCGAGGTGTGCATGCGTGATTATAGATAGTTTTTTTCGTCTCTAATCCTGGTTTTGCAAGGTGTTCCTCATTGGTTTGAAACAAAGACAGATCGTGCGCTGTTGATTAAGGTTTGTCGAAAAACGTCTTACATTATGGGACGGAAGAAGTATGTTTCAAATGGTTAGCAGATAAAATAACATAATATTCAGATTCTACACATTTTTCTGAATATTTAAGTTAGGGTTTAAAGATATGATTTTTTAACCATTTGATACGTACTGAGCGTTGACATGTCATGGGTTTCCTGTAAAAGCGAAATCTGACTTAAAACTAGTCTGCGGATAGATTACCAGAAATATTAGGAGGTTTTCTACAACAAACAATAACAACAACAAAGCCTTTAGTCCCAAACAAGTTGGGGTAGGCTAGAGGTGAAACCCATCAGATCTCGCAACCAACTCATGGCTCTGGCACATGGATAGCAAGCTTCCACGCACCCCTGTCCATAGCTAGCTCTTTGTCGATACTCCAATCCTTCAGGTCTCTCTTAACGGACTCCTCCCATGTCAAATTCGGTCGACCCCGCCCTCTCTTGACATTCTCCGCACGCTTTAGCCGTCCGCTATGCACTGGAGCTTCTGGAGGCCTGCGCTGAATATGCCCAAACCATCTCAAACGATGTTGGACAAGCTTCTCCTCAATTGGTGCTACCCCAACTCTATCTCGTATATCATCATTCCGGACTCGATCCTTCCTCGTGTGGCCACACATCCATCTTAACATACGCATCTCCGCCACACCTAACTGTTGAACATGTCGCCTTTTAGTCGGCCAACACTCCGCGCCATACAACATTGCGGGTCGAACCGCCGTCCTGTAGAACTTGCCTTTTAGCTTTTGTGGCACTCTCTTGTCACAGAGAATGCCAGAAGCTTGGCGCCACTTCATCCATCCGGCTTTGATTCAATGGTTCACATCTTCATCAATACCCCCATCCTCCTGCAACATTGACCCCAAATACCGAAAGGTGTCCTTCCGAGGTACCACCTGGCCATCAAGGCTAACCTCCTCCTCCTGACACCTAGTAGTACTGAAACCGCACATCATGTACTCGGTTTTAGTTCTACTAAGCCTAAACCCTTTCGAATCCAAGGTTTGTCTTCATGACTCTAACTTCCTATTTACCCCCGTCCGACTATCGTCAACTAGCACCACATCATCCGCAAAGAGCATACACCATGGGATATCTTCTTGTATACCCCTTGTGACCTCATCCATCACCAATGCAAAAAGATAAGGGCTCAAAGCTGACCCCTGATGCAGTCCTATCTTAATCGGGAAGTCATCGGTGTCGACATCACTTGTTCGAACACTTGTCACAACATTATTGTACATGTCCTTGATGAGGGTAATGTACTTTGCTGGGACTTTGTGTTTCTCCAAGGCCCACCACATGACATTCCGCGGTATCTTATCATAGGCCTTCTCCAAGTCAATGAACACCCTATGCAAGTCCTTCTTTTGCTCCCTATATCTCTCCATAAGTTGTCGTACCAAGAAAATGGCTTCCATGATCGACCTCCCAGGCAATTTTACTTGTCGCCAATTTTTCTCTGCACCCAGTCGTAGGTCTCCCTGTCATTGTCTATTAGGAAGCTCGATGATGGTAGAGAATCGCTCAACTGAGAGTGTTCAATACGGCACGTGGTGGAGAAGTCGTCCTGGTGTCCTTGGAAGTCCGGCACATGCATACTCCCCCCTTGTATTTTCTTTGTTTTGCTTCAAATTAGCGGAGCTTGCATGCATTCTTTTTTCCCTTTTTCTTTTCGGGGAAATACATTGTTATATTCCAAGCTGATAGGTCGGCTGGTCGCCGGAAATAAGCATCTCCTACACCGAAGCCGTCCCTGTCCGCTCCGGCGTGGACGTCTACAACATCTCCTCTTAGGTCACCTACGCCTGCCTCAGCAGCAACAGCAGCTGCACAGATAACGATTTTACATATAGCGGCTACCAGTGCTACTGCGACTTAATTTTGAACAAATTTTCTCTCGTAACAAATTAAACTTCCAGTCAGTTTTACTGTGCACTTTGTAGAACATCACCGGGAACAATTAGTATAAAATCTAGTACTTTGAAGGTGGACAATCTTCTGACAAAATAAACACATCCAAAAGTCGCAAGAACGAAAAGAAAAAAAAATCGGCACAAGATGCATGTATATTTCATGTCCAAAAATTTCAAATCGCGCGGCAATGCTGCTGAGGTGCTCCAGAACTGGCAACCATCTTCCACCTTCGAAGAAACTGTAGGTGCATCATACCTTGGATGAGACCGCCGCCGCGGCGCCAGCCACCTTCAACACCGGCACTTTCGACTTCGCGACGGCGCCGGAGGAACCGCTGACGCGACATGGACGAAGCCGAAGAAACAGGACCCTCGGCAAGGCCTCCACTGACGTCTTGAAGGCCTTGCCTGGACACACATCCGCAACTCCTTGATGCCGTCATAGAACGCAGTCAAGGCGGTGGCCGCGAGACTTCTATTCCCGACAGAGACGTCGGCACCGACCGAGCGACGTCGCCTGAACAAACTAGCCTAGACCTTTTTTTTTGAGGGAACAACTAGCCTAGACCTAGACACGAGCCACTCCCCAATGGGCCGAATGTGTTACAATATCCCGGTCGCAAGGCCTTGTGCGGCCCCCCGTGTTGCTCCGGCGACGGCGAAGCGGATAAGGCCACCCACCCACCGCTCCCGCCACGGCGAGCCAAAGCTTTCGCCTTTCTCCCCTCCGCTCGGCCCCGCCTCCAATGGCGTCGGCGTGCCCCCGCCTGCTCTTCCTCTCCTTCCCCAAGTCCCCGTCGCCGCCGCCCGCCGTCCCCGCCAAGCACCACCCGTCCGCCGCCGCCACCGCCTCCGTCTCCCTCTCCCTCTCCACCCGCGCGCGCGCCGCCTCTCCCAGCGCCCCGTCCCCGTCCCCCTCGCCGTCTCCTCCCGCGGACGGGGTCGGCCCCGCGGCGCCGACGCGGGGCGACGTGTACCTGGGGAGGCAGCTCGCGGCCGCGGCCGCGGCACGCGCCCCCGCGCGCGCGTCGGAGGAAGACGCCGAGAGGCGCCGCCGACGGAAGGAGAAGCGGAAGGCCCTCGCCAAGAAGGCGCCCTCCGGCCTCGCCTGCTGCTACGGCTGCGGCGCGCCGCTGCACACCGGCGAGGCGGGGTCCCCCGGCCACGTCGAGCCCGCCACCTACGACCTGGTAAGCAGGCCATCCGATCCACGCGCGCACTCCGCCGCCATCCTCAGCGCGTTTCCACCGGCTTGCCGGAGCATGGACTGACACGACACGACGTGGGCAGAAGAAGAGGCACAACCAGCTGAAGACGGTGCTGTGCGGGCGGTGCAGGCTGCTGTCGCACGGGCACATGGTGACCGCCGTCGGCGGCCACGGCGGCTACCCGGGGGGCAAGCAGTTCGTTTCGGCGGAAGAGCTACGGGAGAAGCTGTCGTACCTCCGCCACGAGAAAGCATTGATAGTGAAACTAGTAGACAACCCTGGCTCTCATACCCCAATCGATTGATGCATACCTAGTTGTCTTGCACTCATTGTGGCTGCTATATGAATGTAGGTTGACATAGTCGACTTCAACGGGAGTTTCCTGGCGCGCATACGCGATTTCGCCGGCGCTAACCCCATCGTGCTCGTGATAACAAAGGTGAATTTCATACATTGTCAACTTCTCAGTACTGTTTCTTCTGTCAGGTAACTAAAGCTATAGCTGCTCTGTAGGTTGACCTCCTACCCAGAGACACGGATTTGAATTGCATCGGTGATTGGGTCGTGGAGTCTGTTGTTA